ATAGATGAAACAGTCTCCCTGAAAATTAAAGAACTCTGGGTTGAGACTGTAAACCATGAGGCAAAAAATCAGTTTACTTTTTAAATATCTACTTTTCCCCATATTTAATAATTAAATATTAAATCGCTATTTCCCAATATTAAATATTAGCAAATACTTAATATTTATTTTCAAACTTCTAAGGGCACAGTTACTTATTTTATGGAATAAGCCCCAGCTGAAAGAAATTCCATCGAATTTTAGAATTGCCTTCTTCCTTGACACGTCATCATAGAAGGTTTAATACATACGACAGAGAGCCTTATGATGAAATTAACTCCCTGCCACTGAATATATTCAAACAGAAGTGTTATCTGCTTGTTTGATACATTACAGTTTCCAGAGACCTTTCAACTTCACTGTCTCATTTGTCCTGCCCTGCGACATGGGTGGAGAATCATCATAACCCCAACTTACAGACCAGGTGACATATTGATGTTGCCCTGGCGACTGGCCCAAGGCCATGGCTGATGGGTGATGGATCCAGGATGGAACCCAGGGCAGGACCTGGCGACTGCTCCAAGGCACTGCCAAGGTCAGGGAGAGAGGCTGCATGGGCAGCCTCGCTGGGTGCGAGGCTGGACGGGTGGATTTTAAGAGTCCTCCTGATTCTAATTCAGAGTAATTTGGCCCATGCAACGGGAGTCAGGGAGAAGCCGTGGGGACCACTTTTTAATATTATGTTTTGTAAGCACAGACACTTAACGTGCTTCCTGGCTTGAAATTAGAGAACATTCTGCTCAGACTCCCCAAGTGCTCTTGACATCCCAGGACAAGCAGACCCTCTGTCACCAGGACAGAGGGCCTGAATGTGCCCCGGGTGACAGCACAGGACAGGCTGGGCCGGAAAGCTCAGCCCGGAGCTCCCAGCCTCCTGCCTGCAAGGAAGCTGCTTCTGTTTCAGACGTTTGGGGTGAGCCGGCCAGCCCGTCCTAACACGGCAGAGACCTTCCCTGACTGAGCTCCCCTTCCTCTCCCTTTCACCTGAAATGAATTCTACCCCCACGACGTCGTTTTCTTTGCTAGCTTTCTCTAAAAGGCAAAGAAAAATACGCAGCACCCAGATAGCGTAACTATCTCTTCGGTTTTGTTTCTACTTGACAGCCCTCCACCACCACGTACCACACCCACCACATTTCACTGACTTGATCAGTGCCCTGCACGGGAGGCCTGTCTGCCTCTGTGCCTGGAGAACGGCCATCTGTCCCCCAAAATGCAGCTCAGAGCGGCACCTCTCCCGCTAAGCAAGCCTGACGCAACCATTTTAAATGCTTTCACGTATCTCAGAGCCTTGCATAGGCTGTTCCACACGCTGTTGTTTAAATTTCTATTTAATGCTTCAGCTTTTTATGAAGGAAAACTCTAACCTACGCGAATTGGAAGAATCACCGCCTGAACCCGTGTACCCATCACCCAGCTTCAATAAGTGTCAGCTTCCGGCCACTCGAGTTTCATGTTTTTCCCCACCCTTCCTCACTTCCATTTAAAAAAGAAAAAAATCCCAGACATCATGTCATCTGTAAATACTTCAGCATGTAGCTCTAAAAGAAAAAGGCTCTTTTCTAAAGCATGATTACCACACCATCATCACACTAAAAACAAAATGGACTGTAATTTCCTGAGCTCGTCAAATATCCTCTCAGGGTTCAAGGTCCTGTGATTGGCTCATGATTTTTTTTTTTCTCAGATTGGTTTCTTTGAACCAGCATCCAAACGAGTCTACCCACTTTTCACTGGCTTATTCTCATTCATCATAAGATCTCGGTTTAGACACTACTCCCTCCTGGCGGCTTCCCTGACCCCAAATGCTGGGGCATGTGTCCCTTGTCTGTTCTGCCACAGCTCCTGGGCTCGCCACTCTATAACCTTCACCACTGGTTTGCATCCTGAGATAGACTGTGAGCTCCAAGAGGGCAGGAAGGGTCACTGGGTGATGTCACGGAGTGATGTCACTCTGATGTCCCTGTGGCTAGTACAGCGCCTGGTCCATAGTATGTACCAAATCTCTGTGCGATGAATAAGTAAATGAATGAGCTCCCAAAGTAAATGAATGAACTATATGTCCCATTCCTAAGCCCATTCTATCATACATTCCACGTTCAGTGGAATGATTTGCTTGGAAGTCTGTTTCTCCGTGGAACAGAGACTTAACCGTTTTTGGATCCCCAGAGCCTTGCCCAGGATCTGACACGCAGTGGGCAGGTGGAGAAAACCTGGGTTTTGTACTCCAAATTCTATTGGTGTGACTTGAGATTCACAGGCTTTCCTCTCTGGGTCTCGTTTTTCTCGTCTCTATAATGAAGAATTTGGGTTCATGAGTTAGATCTAAGGTCCTTTTGGGTTTGCGATTCTGAGTAGGGGCCCAGCCTCATGGGGAGTCCCCATTTGCCATACGCTTGCTGCCCTCTGCTGGCAGAACTGGCTCAGGACCTCTTTGTCCTCAATTTTGCGGAAAGAGAGTTCTCCCCAACTGTAAGTGGGACAGGGACTTGAATTGTGCTGCCTCGCCCGGGTTTGGTTAAGATGTGGAAGCCTGTGCCTCCCTCCACCTCACTCATTCATGCCTCCAGCAGACGGCATCACTGGGGTAGGTCACAGACAGACAGAAGACTAACGCAGTGGTCACAACGCCCCAGCTTCACATTAGAACCTCTGGGGGTGAGAGGTGGGGCCTGCTTTGAAAACAGATCTGATGCCCAGGCCCCCCTCGAATCAACAATCAATTCCCTGGGGGACAGGGCCCAGCGTTCATATATGTTAAACGCCATCCTGCGGCATCTAATGTTCGGTCACGGGAAGAATGGCTGGACCAAGCTGATGTTTACATGTGTATCTTGAGCCAAAAGCTTAGAAGCACAATCAACAGTTCATCCAGGAAAAGAATAAATGAAGACTTTGACTTGACGATACAAATTTCTCTCAGCTGATCTTAAAATGTTTTCTTTCGAACGCTGACAGCTTCCAAGCCAGACGATTTTGTTTGCTGAACCAATACCATTCACCCGTTAGCGACATTGCCCCCATACTGTGGTGTCTTTTTGCTTTCGAGATATAGTTCTATATTTTGGCGCATGGTACCACCATTTCTTCTCATTATTCGTTTTTTCTTTTTTACATTTCTGCATGTGTTAAGACTCCTTCGGTTGCAGGTAACAGAATTCCGTTGTTGCTAACTGAGGCCCCAAATGAGAAATTGATGGAAGGGACCAAGAGGCAAGTGGGAACTGGACCTCTAGGCAACACCAGGAAATGGTCACTCTCTGTCCTTGGCCTCTGCTTCTCTCTGCACGTCGAATTCATTCCTTCTTTCTCTCTCACAGCCAGCTGGTGTGTTCTGCCCATTTGTCCACGGGCAGAAAGTGGCCACCAGTAGATCATGACTCGCCCGTGTCCAGCTTTGGTCTGCTGGAGAAAAATCTCCTTTTCCTCGGCCCCAAATCCAAATTCCCAGACTGGTCCCCTTGGGTCAGAGGCCCCTGGGCCAATCAACCACAGCCAGCATGGCCAACTCTATAATTTGTTGGGCCCAATGCAGAATGAAAATATGGCACCTCTTATTCAAAAAGCAGGACAAGTGCCATTAACGGTATACATAGAGGCTCTTTTTCTGAAGTCTTAACTTGTCACAGTGCTTTTTATTTTCTATTTACTGTCATTCTAAGTAAAGAAACATCTAAATTTGACAGTATTCGCATGGATTTTTCCATTCATCTTTATATCATGCAATGCCACTTTAAAATGTAATATATCAGAGCATTTAACTCAGATGTAGAATCACTGAAATGACACACTTTGTATTTTGTGACTCATGGGCCAGAAAAGACGAACACAAACCCAACTATTGAAAATAGGAGGGAGAAAGAGAGGGAGCGGTAGGCTCCCCCAAGGGGCACTCCCTCGGGTGTGGGGACACTGGATAGGCTAGGGGAGTCACCTTCACCGGTGCCCAGGGACCCTCCCACCGGCCCGCACATGTGGCCCTGCCTAGGACAGGGTCCAGGGAGCTGAGCTAGGCTTCGCCCTTCCCATGGGCCTACCACCCCCAAACCCACAGCAGCCTGCGACCCTGCAAAGATCTTTACAGCTCTGTGGCCAGGGCACACTCCGTGCAGCGGGTCCTCGAAGGACGCCATTTCCTTCCAGGGGGAGGGCCAGAGGGGTACAGTGTCACTCCAGTGGATGTCATCCAGAGGATGCCGGGGTCCCCAACATAGGGTACGGCTGTCTCCACACCTTCACCCCCTGGCATCTAATCGATATTTCCCAACTTTTCCTAACCTGATGGGTGACAAATGGATTCTCATTGTTTTAATTTGTATTACTTATCCGGACAAGGCGTATTTCTTCTGTGTTTTGCCCCTTCATATTCTTAAGAGTTTTGTTCTTTTTTCTGCTGAGTTTCTCTTCTTGCCAGGTTTCGTAGGTCTTTGGTTTTTGTTGCTGTCGATCCTTCATAAATGTTGCCAACTTTTTCTTTCTTTTACTATTTCACTATTTGTCTTTTAACTTTACAATGTACCGATTACCACCTGCGTGACCACCTCTCGGAGCCTCAGTTTCCTCGTCTAAGAGAAGGGAGAACAGGGTCTGGTTGGTGTGCTGGGAGGATCGAACAAGGCCGTGTCTTTACAATGCGCAGCCTGCCACGTCGTCAGCTGCCAATAAATGCCAGCCGTGTTTTACTACCCAACTTCTCCATGACTCTCAAAGACCCCCAGCTCCCAGGCCGGGACTGCTTGTTCTCAGGAACACACAGCACCATGAAACAAGCACAACAGAATATTCTGCACGAGAGAATATGCAACACGCTAATCGAATGCAACGTGGGTAGTGACCACCGTTGTTGATTTTCTGAGGTTCCCATTTAAGTATCTGCTAAAACTGGAGCAGGACTCTAAGGT